ATGGATTGTTTAGGATAAATGGATGGGTTTGTTGATTTGCTCATTTGTTATCTGAGAATGTAAAGATGACCAAAGTCTTTACTCTCGAGGAACTCAGTCTAGGGAGAAACACCAGTAATCACATAATAGTAATTTACTTTTGAGTGCTCATCACATGCTAGGTTCTACAAGAGACAATATTTCAAAGCTCTTTGAAGTTGGTAGTCAGAAGTGACATCATTTTCCATACAGGTGTGTGATTTAGAGATTGTGAAAAAAAGAACCAAAGTCTTGGAAGTGAGATATTAGTAGGAGGCTAACAAACCCAGAAACATGTGACTCTGCTTTTTTTAGAAACTGGGACCGAGTATGGTGGCTCACTCCTATAATCCTAGCACTTAGGGAGACTGAGACAAGAGGATTGTTTGAGACCAGTCTGGACAGAATAGTGAGACCTTGTCTCTACAAAAATTCAAAAAATTAGCTAGGCATGGTGGTGTGCACCTGTAGTCCTGGTGACTTGGGAAGCTGAGGCAGAAAAATTGCCTGAGTCTAAGAGATTGAGGCTGCAGTGAAACTCTCACTCAAAAAAAAAAAAAAAAAGAAAAAGAAAAGAAAAAAAAGAAGAAGAAACTGGGTTCCTCACTTGGAAAAAGGTGTGGAAGGAACTCCAGGGCAGACCACAGGGGAGACAAAGTGTTGGAATTCAAGACTGGCACCCCTTTAAGGGTATTCAAGGTCAGCCATACACTGCTTTGCCAGCCTTAGTATCCTTTTTAACTCTTATTTGAACAAGTCAACCCTGGTCACAGAATATACTGGACAAGACATTTCTTCTGCAAGACATGCTCAAGGATGAAAGCAAACATGTGTGAACAGCAATTATTTAGCATAATAGGACAATCGCTTCTTGAAGCATCATTGCTGAAGTCCATGAGCCTTGTTAGAAGTTTCGGCACCCCCTTTCCTGGCTGACTCCTCCCCAGAACAATTTACCTCTTCTGTCTAGCATCATTCTCTGCCCTCTTGTGAGAACTTCCAGAGATCTTCTCCCCCTAGATGCTGTCTTTGCCTTTTTAAACTAAAATCTTGGGGACTATGATTAGCAGAATCTCCTTGGTATCTTGCTATGAGCTGCTCATTAGACTCTTCTTCAACCACCATCTTTTGCTTCCCTTGACTCTCAAAGCGCTCTCATTTCTTCAGAGAGAGTGAAACTAGTGTATTTGAAATCACTTTTAATGTTTTTTGATTAAATATTATCCCGACCTTTATGGAACGTTTTAATTAATTTCAGTACCCATCTTGCCTAGCACTTAAAGATTTTAAAAGTTAACTTTTAAAAATCTTAACACTATAGGAAGGAATGACAAAGGAATACTATGAGGATAATTTCTGAAAAGTATTCCTACAGAAATTGAGGTACATTTACACAAAACAAACTTTTTTTTTTGCTCATAATCCCACCACAACCCCAGAAGTATTTTATTTTTCTAACTTATCTTTCAGCTTTTACTTTCATCATTGTAAACTTTTGTTTCTCTGTCCCTCAAGGCTTTTTGTAAACACTTTTCCATTTTGCAATATATTTGTTTTTAGTGTTTGTGCAATATACTTCATCAAATTGATATTTCATAATTTATTACCTGTTCCTTTAGTGCTAGACATTAAAGTTATTTCCATTTTCTCTCTATTATAAATAATGGGTGCAAGAACATCTTTATATATATAGCTTTTTTCCTATGTTTGAATTATATCCCTAGGATAAATTCCCAGGAGTGGGATTAGTGGGTCAAAGGGTCTGAACAGTTTTATGGCTCTTAATATTTATTGCTAAATTGCCTAAAGGGTCATTCTAATTTACAATGCCACCTGCAACACACGAGAGGCGCTGCCCCTCCCAGCCCTGCTGACACTCGTTTCTTCAGTCAATAGTTTTGGGCAAATGTAATATAGGTACTCAAGCGTAATTCATTATTGTTTTTAATTGGTAATTCCTTTAATTATTATCAATATTGGACTTTTTCTTGAGTGTGTTTCTATTCTATTCTATTCTGTGTGGTTTGCTTTTCATGTCAGAGAATTATATTTCTTGATATCTCCTAAAATTTAAAGTATTTTATAGTGAAAACACCAATGCACTCAGAACAAAGAGAATAATTGAAGGGGCCCCTTATATTCCCAGGTTCAACTAAAGAGCAAGACTCAGCCATATTTGTTTTATCTACCCCTTCTTGTTATCTTTCTTCCCCCTTTGTGCACTATTTTAAAGCAAATCCCAGGCATTCTGCATTCTGAGCATATGGACTTTTTTCTAATATAATCATAATGCAATTGTCACATTTAACAAAATTGATAATAATTCTTTGGTATCATTTAATATCAGTCTGTTATAAAATTTTCCAAAGTGTCTTTTCCTGAAGCTTTGTTCCCACCAGCATACTTCATGTATACATTCACTTCTTAGGTTTCTAAAGTCTCCTAATCCGTAGAATGCTGCCTCATCCCCCACCCAACCCTGCTTTACTCCTACCCAGTGACTTGGTCAGTTGTTCTGTAAAAATATCCACATTCTGGATTTGACTTTTTTTGTGACCTTATTGGTTCTAGAAGCTTGATTAAATGAAGTTTCAACTTTTGTGGGGGGCAGTAATACTTCATGGATGGTGTTATGTGCTTCATTTTGTATTGCTTCTGGGACATAGAATGTCTGGTTGTCCCACTTTGGGTGATGCCAAGACTGATCATGCGTTTAGGTGGTGACAACCTCAAACAAGATTGTAAAATTTTTCATCAGCTTTTACCATCAATGCTTAATCTGTTGATGAGGGTTGCTTGAAGCAATTATTATATAGAAATTGGAAAATCGTGCTTTTCTAATTTGATTATTCCTTTCCCTTTGATTAACTGGAATTCTTCTGTAAAATAAAACTTTTCCTCATAAACTAGGGCTTTTTAGAATCTCAAATGCAGTTTGAACAAGTAAGGTAAGATAAATGCTTTATTTTTTCCTCCAAACTGCTATGTTTCTGTGTAAGGAGTTGGTACCTTTGCCACTTCTAATGGTGTCCAGTAAGTTGTTACTGTTTTTTTTAAGAAGTATAAAATATCATGCTCTTTAATATTTATATATTCCATGTATTTTACTCAGTTACACTCTTTATTCTTCAGATTGTCCTGTCCTTGTCCCACGGGGATGCCTTTTATGTTCTTGTTTTCAGGAATACATGTCCCAGTTCATCTAGTTTGAGCCATTCTTCCAAGATGTCATGTTTTTTGTTTGTTTGATTTTGAGTGGGGAATGCTATTTAGAGACCACAATCTGGATATATTATGTTCTCATTGTTTCTAAGTTTTCTCAGTGGACAGAGTAGAAGTACATATTTTACAAAAGAAAATAAAAGATTATAAGTTCATACTGATATTGTCATTTCAAATTTAACAAAACTTCTCCTTCTTTTATTTCACACTTATATTTCTTTCTCTTACACTAAACATCTTGGTTCCAGACATGGCTATACTGCAATATATGCCAAATAGCTTAAAAGTAGCAATACCAGTGTTGCTACTTACAATTTTCCCTGAGAGTAAGAGCTTTCTTTGCAGCTCTATTTATCCTTAGAATATATTCCACTAATAATATATAGTCAGATTACCTTGCTGTCATAACACTTGAATTAATACTTTTCATCAGTTTGAAATATAGATAAGGTTCTTCATTTCAGTTTGTTTTCAAGTTGTAGAGTTTTTTTTTCTTTTGGTATAATTTTATTTTTTGAATTTGTAAAATGTGCTTTAAAGTTACATCTATGTAAAAATTATTATCAGAAGTCTTTCTTCCATTCTGTCTCCTCCACCTAAGTTCCTCCCTGCCAGCACTGGTGACTATTCTTAATAATTAAGGTTCATTTTATCTTTGCAGTATTACTTTTTGCAAATATAGATGTGTTCATATTCCCCCACCTGTTTTACAACAAAGCTAGCATACCATATATACATTATGATACACTCTGTCTGTGTTTAGGAGATTGTATTTCTTTGAAGGTTGTATTCATTGTTAGGCTGTACCATGGTTTATTTAGCCACTTTTTGATGGAGTTTTGTGTTTCCTAAAAAAAAAAAATCCTGTGCCCAAGTCATTTCATATTTTGACCAGTGTATCTTTGGGTCTATTCCTAGAAATGGAATTGCTGAGTCAAAGAGTAAAATCATATGTACTTTTTCTAAATATTGCTAGGTTCACTTTCATAAGCTTGAGCTTAATATACAAGATTGTTGGGAAACTAGTACATTATTTGTTGAACCCACATATTGTTCTTACTGTTGTCCAAGATGTGGCCTGGCACTGAATACCCTGGTTCCTGCTTTTAGGGAACCTGTGGTTTCTCTAGGAAGACATGATATGTGAATGAAAAACAAAGAGTAGTCCAAAGTAGAATATATTATAAAAACAAAAATGAAAATCCAGCTCAAGTCTGTTTAGGAAACCTTTCCTGCTTACTCCAGGCCATGTGAGTCCTCAGTCCTCTGAATTTCATTAACACTTTTTATGACACTTGTAGGGATCCCAAACCAAAACTTTTGACACTTGATTGAACAAAGATGAATGTGTTAACAGTAATAATAGAGCTGAATGTTTGAAATGGGGGCTGCCTCATAGATTCAAGCTGAATAATTACTTTTTGTAGAGTTCCATCTGCATTTCCCAAAGCATATTCTCTGGGAAGTCTATAGATTTTTTAAAGGCTTACACAGTAAAATCAGTATGGAATTGTTGGATTAATTATACCTAATGAGCTGTGACTCCAAAATCCTCCAAAATCACATCTGTTATCCCAAGCTCACATGCTCACAGAATTCTAATTTCATAGAGTATCTCATGTTGATACTGGACTGCAAACCACAAAGAATCAGTGTACGGGTTCTGTTGAAATGAAAATGAAAGCATCTCTTCCAGGTGATGAACTTGTACTTACAGTTCTACATTTTTAGTTAACAATTTTCCTTCTGTTTCTTTCTAGATTGAATCATTAAAGAAAAAGGTGCAGCAGAAGCAGCTCTTAATATTGCAGCTTTTAGAAAAGATTTCTTTCTTAGAAGGAGAGGTAAGATGCTGTGTTTCTTTAAGTTGGTGCCCTCCCTACCATTAAGTTTTATGTTGCTGAGCCTACCACCGACACTTAATTAAAAATATGGCTATTTCCTGGCCTTATAAAATTGATTGAAGGTTAACTGCTCGCCCTGAAAATGAGCTTCTGACAGCTGGTTTTTCTTTACCATCTGACTCTCCTCATTCCAGCTTCCCACTCACCTCTGCTTTTTGGCTCTAGTTTTTCTTGTTCAGGAATTTTCTTAACAAGTCTGATAAGCTGTTGATTAATACTGATAATTTCCTGCATTTGTGGAGTGCTTTATAATTGTAAGATATTTTCACATACATTCCTCATATGAATCTCTCAGCAACTTAAAGAAAGACAAGACAAAGATTGTTATCTCTGTATTAACAAACAGAAAAAACAGAGTCACAGAGAAGGCAGGTGGTTTTGCTCAAGGTCACTCAGCTTAGTACATGCTAGAGCCAGGCTAAAAGACTCTGAATCTAGTGCTCTTCTACTATATTGAGTGAACATGTTAAAGGGGACTTAACTTTACCTGACACTTAGTATGCTTGACTTTCTGGCTTTTTGAAAGTCACTTGGGGATTTTGTATAGGTTTCAGAGAAGGAAATTATGGGGTTGGAAGAGCCTTAAGATGTTAGGTATTATAGAAGGAGAAGCCAACATCTATTTGTTCTAAAGGCTCTTTGTTAAGAGCTTGGCAGCGGGCCTTTTCCTATGAGGCTCCATGAAAAGTTGTTCTGCCAAGCACCTGTCCGTGTCAATGTTCCTTGTTACAGTTCTTCCCCAGTGAGACTGCCCAGCAGATAATGATGGAGTAAGGGGCAAGGGAAGAACCTACTTTTATTAAACCCTTAGTGTGTCTTGGGCACTGTTAGTTACTTTGCATATCCTCTGTATAACACAGAAATCAAGAGTTAAATGAATCAGATTTACCTGAGTTTGAACTCTGGATCTGCTTCTTATCAGCTGGGTGATGCTGGGGAAGTTTCTTATAATTCTAAAATGAGGATCATAACTGCACCTGTATGTGGCATGAAGTGAGAATGCATAGAAGGTGCCTAGCATATACTAAGCACACAATCATTTGTAAATTATTATTATTCTGTCTTCATTAAAAGGGATAGCCTCTGAGTTAGAGTCTATTTCCCCCTTTTATTGTTGGGGAAACTGAGGTTCAGGGACATCAGGGAATCTGCCTAAGGTTACAGTAGAGTTGGGCCAACCTGAACCCAGATCCTGAGTCTTAACCACCATGTTTGCAGGGATGACGAGCAGAATCCCCATCCACTGTGTCTTTGTGGGACTGCCTATGGCAGTTATAACCAGAAATCCCTCATGTCCCAGAGAGACCTGGTACCAGATTCAATGCCCAAGAGTCTCAGTCTCTTGAAGTGAAGTAAAGGGGTATTTTCTCCGTCCCCATTCCTCTCTTCCCCTCCACAGTCACTGAGCCCAGGACCAGCCTATGAATGAATGTTTCTTTTTCTAAGATTTCCTTCTGAAATTACAACTCCCCATCAGAGGAATCACACTTCCCCAGTGAGACTTAGAAAGTGAGTGTCTTGGTGGAAGTCCATGTGTCCAGAAAAGGGCTGTTCTAGGAGAGAGGAAAGATGCTGACAGGAGAGGCAGAAGGTCCCCCAAAACCTACCCATCTCTGTGGCTGTGTTGCTGCTGCAAGCTCTCCTGGTAGACCACTGAATGCCCAAGGGAATATTAGACATGGAGAGGAGACTCATAATTACCTGTGCTTCATTTAATGCTTGATTTATTAAACTCCCTTCTAAGTTTGTGTTGCCCTAGACCCTGAGATGTGGGTATGAGCTGGGAGATGATCCAGGAAGCCCCAGTAGGGGAGTGGGGAAATGAGACAGGGAAGGGAAGAAGGCCAAAATCAATGCCTTATGGAGGAGGTCACACTGTGGGTGGCTGAGGTTCACTTATGCTGGGGATCTCTGGGAGATGGTCTGACCAAAAGGTCAGAAAGCTGGGGTGTTTACCATTGACTCCTGTCCGTCATTGGTTGAGGCCTACTCCTAGGGGTGGTGAATTCTGGCCTGTGCTGGGCAGAACCAGTTGGATTCTGGTGGTCAGGGGAAGTCCCCAAGTAAAGAGTGCCTGGAGAATATGGATGTGCCGGCATGTGGAGTAGGTATATCTAATAAACAAGACTTTGGAAACCAGTTTTCCTTGAAAATATAAACAATGATCATAAATTTTATTGATTAAATTCCATTACAAATTTAGTATGGATGATTGCTTTTGGCCAATTCAGATATCCACCTTAAGCAGAGAAAAAAAAGAACTATACAAAATAAATCACATAATGACAAGATTTAAATACATTTAGACTTAAACCTATTTTAAAATATTAAATGTCCTGAATTTAATTAACTTCTTCATTCTTTCTGTTCTTTTTTTTTTAAACCGTCCTGAGGCTATTATTTTACTTATTTCAATATTTTCTTAGGGTTAACATCATTTTGACACCTCCCAGACAGGTTCAGTCATCTTTTAGATCCAAAGGAGAAAGAATACCTTCTCTGAATTAGTAAGATTAGAGGATGTGGGTTACATTAGAATCTTAGCTGGGTCACAGAACTAGATGGCATCTTTCAAGGTGATTCAAACTCAGGATCACTTATTGTGACACATAGATCCAGAGAATGCATAAAAACATGCATTCTCTATTAATATTTTACTATATTCAACTGGGTCATGTATAGATTTTATCTTCTAGGAGATAGGAGATGAAGTTTTCCTCTTTGGCCATGTGACTAGTTTATCATTTTACACACTCTGCTGACTGCTGTTTTTTTGCTGAGTATGACCATCAATTGCTGCCCCTCTTTCCATCTCGTTGTTCTATGACTCCTGATGCCAAGCAGTCCTTCTGTGGACCCTGGAATCCTGGGGTGACCTAACTTACATTTCCTTTTATTGTTCTCTCCAACTTAACGCAGAAATATAAATAGACCTATGATGGTTACTCTATAAAAGAAACTACATAGTCTTATATGTTAATGCTTCCTAGTTTAAAAAAACAAAAATGTTCACATATCGTTTTGTATACTTTATATTAACTTTCCCTTTAGCAACGTTACGAACACAAGGCATTTCTCAGACTCAACTTGTTTACATAATTATAATAATTATTTGCTTTTCTACCTCCTCTTTTGGGGCTCAAATTGTGAGGCTTAGCCTGGGAGAGTTCTCACACATTAACTTTTTTGCTCATGATGCTCTTTTTTTTTTTTTTTGAGTTGCAGTCTCACTCTGTCACCCAGACTGGAATGCAGTGGCTGCTCCCGGCCACTGCAGCCTCGACCTGCTGGGCTCCAGCAATCCTTCCGCCTCAGCCTTCCAAGTAGCTGGCACTACAGACGCGCGCTACCACGCCCGGCTAATTTTTTGATTTATTGTAGAGATGAGGTCTCACCAAGTTGCCCAGGCGGGTCTCGAACCCGCGGGCTCAGGCAATCCACTCACCTCAGCCTCCCAAAGGTGCGGGATTACAGGCTGAGCCACCGAGCCTGGCTTCATGATGCTCTTGAAGTTGTTCTTGCTATGTGGCAACAACAAGGTGTTTTAGTCCTATCTTGGTTTTTGTTCTAAAATATAAAATTGTTTTTTCTCTAAGGAGTCCTTGTTCATATTAGTGGAGAACTATATTGAAGACTATCTGAGCATGGGAATTGGGAGTGGGCGAAAGTATCATGCCTACTGTTAGGCCAACTTTGTTTTTAATCGATAAGTAAAAATTATGTATATTTATGGTGTACAACATGATGTTGTAACATATGTATGCATTGTGGAATGGCTAGATCAAGCTCTTAACAGTAGATCAGTTTTAATAGGGACAGAATTGGGGAAAAATATGTATCTTTTTAAGAGTTTGAGGTCACACTGATATTTTCCAAATTTATCTGTTGCTTTACAATATAGGGTTCTGTGGGCCACCGAGAATTTTTATTTTGTTGACCCTTTTCTAACACTAGCAATTTTTATAGTATGACTTTCTCTCCCCAGCGTTAAAACATTATGATGCCAATGATGGTGTTTCAGGCACACTTGAAAAGTTTTGGTGGATAAATCTGGTAGTCTCCCATCTTATTAATAAAGTAGCAGCCCTTTTATTAAGGGCCTAATTGCAGACTGCCTGCAATACTGCCTGAGTTCAAATCTCTGCCACTTAGTTATGTGATCTTGAGCAAATTATTTAACTGTCCTGTGCTTAGTTTGCTCATTGATTAATGGGAGCCCTCTCTGTAAGATGGTATCCTCTCCATAGACTTGCTGTGACCGTTAAATTAGTTAACACTTGACTGATTAGAAAAGTACCTGGGTCACAGGAAATGCCATATGTGGCAATGTTTCTTTAGTTGCCTGGTTCCCAGGGATTCCTTTCATTGCCACTGGTATATATTGCAGATTTACAGCCATGTCCCAAAAAGAATTATTCTTTCATTTTTGCTCATCCTTGGGGCTAGAAACTATCATCAAATTCGGCTGTGTGAGAATTTAATAAAGAGAATTTCACATTTAAGTGAAGCTGAGCAGGATGTAGACAGTCCAGGTCCTACTAGCAGTCCACAGGGCCTGAAAGTCAAAGGCCCACAGCAACTTGAAGGGTTCGTCCTGCCAGGGTGAGGCTGGATGCGAATCTTATAGGCTGACCACACTTCAGCTTTTTTTTTTTAAAGCACTTTGTCCTGATATTTATAGAATTCATAGGTGTTTGGAATCCATATTAAGTCTTGGAGTTTGGGTATCATAAACTGATTATTTTGTATGAAGTCATTTCTCCTATTTTTTTTTTTTCTGGTTCCATGCCCAGGTGGTATTTAGGGATTTGTTGATCATGTCTGTGTACCTCTCAGTCACATGTTCTTGATTTTAAAGGAGCAACAGTAATTTATCTCAACATCAAACTAAAGAGCCTTGGTTCTTACATGTGTCCTCATGTAGTCCAGTCTGCTGTTCC